TGTCAGATTTCTTATCATGTCTTTGAATCCTGTGTTCCAAGCATTCAAAACTCAGTGGCCACCCTGGGAGACACACATGCATGGCTAATTGTTGGTGTGTCAGAGAAAATGGCAGATCTTTTTTGATTTGACTACTTCCCTGTGATTTCTGTGATTGTCTAAACTTCAGACACATTTCGATGTGAGGTTCTATTCAAGGCAGATGGATTTGGATCATAAGATCGCCAGTTGATATTACAAGTATTTTTCGGTTTTGTGTGATAAAGTTGCAGCTAGATCTTCCAGAAATATTGAATGAGTTTTGAGCAAAAGTTCTTGTTTGGGAACTCTCTAGGGGGTTCTTGGACTTTGGGGCATGTAGGAGCCCTCTGGACATGTATGTAATGTGCAGTTCATGTGTATTTTTTGTGGGAAGTGGATTGGTAAGTTTCACTAGATTTCTAAGGAGTCCGTGACTTCAGATCAGTTGGTGCTGAAGCTGAAGGCAGACACAGCCTGCAGGAAGTGAGATGAATGCAGCCAGATGGCGAAGGTGGCTATGAGGCCAGAGGGGGTGGAGGCTGGTGAGAATCACGAGTCCCAGTCACATCAGCTTTCTCCTTCTCCAACCATCTATCACTGCCTCAAAACTCGCTTCTGGGAACTAGACCTTGTTTCTCTTCCTCTGCCCACTCACACACAGACATGCCAAGGAGCACTNAAGCCTCAGATTGTAACCAATTAGCCATTGATTTAGATACCTTAAAAGAAGTTCACCAGTGACACACAATGTGCTTGTCTGGGAGACAAGTTACTTTTGCTCAGACTTGAGATGCTCCTGTTGTAGTAAACTGATCTCAATACCAAAATGCCTGGGACTTCATGCTGTGGCCACACCCACACAGCTGTGGTCACAGAGACCATGAGAACTGAAACACAGAGATCGGGAACCAATGGCACTCTCAGCATGGGTGGTGGTTAAGGTGCAATGAATACAGATCTGTATATGGAATTACATGTGCTTACAGGACATGATTATGTAATTACATGTGGATATTTTCTTACTCACAATTATTGTAATAATTATTAATGAAAGTCTTAATGTTCCCCCACTAGAACTTAGTAGGCAGCAAGAGTGGTTCTATTTGAGAATTTCCACACCTTCTACTTGATCTCACTTAATACTCCATAGCCTTTTCTTTTCTTCAGCAGCTCTTGTGCAGACTTATCTGTGATCCTTAGTTCATCAGGTTAATATACATGAGCTAAACACTCACATAAAGAGAAATGCCTGGAGCGCAGCGACGCTCCCGCCGCGGGTTCGGATCCTATATAGGAATGGCTGGTGCGCTCACTGGCTAAGCGCAGTGCGGGCTACACCACACCAAGGGTTGCGATCCCCTTACCGGCACGAAAAAGACAAAAAAAAAGAAATGCNCAGAGGAAGGAAGGCCTTCTCTAAAGTGCCCAAAGACACCATGAGAACTAGCAATGCCTGCCTACTGTCCCATAAGTACACTGTGAATTGAGTAGAATGGGGTGGGGCTGAATGTCCTTTTGGGTCTATTTCTGTGATTGTGTTGTCACTCCCTGCCACTGGACACACACACCCATCACGTTAGATCAAGGTAATGATCCAGCTGATGCACTGCTGCTATGTCTGGACTCCATGTCATAATATCTTCTCTTTCTTTTCCCCCATTGGTGCAAAATTTGTAATTTACCAAAAAAACATTCATTTTCTGTAATCAGCTTACAAAACGTTGGCCCAGCTCTGTGCAGCCTGC